TCAGATGGAGGACTGGAGGGTACAGGAAGACTGGCCAGAGCAAGAATAACAAGCAGAGGTCAGGGTCAAGAAGTTAGAGAGTCAGAAGCTAGGTCTTCTGATTCCCTTGGTTTATTTCATCCACTAATGCTGACTGTGGTTTTGCTTGGGGCCAGTTCCAAGCTTCACGGGTTCAGGGCATAAGCACAAGACTGATTTCTGAGAGCGTATGTTCCCAGGATCACCGGCAAGGAGCAAGGTGCTGAAGCTAGATGTCCATGCGGATGTGAGGAAAGGTTCCAGGAGGCTTGTCTATACCAGGGGTTCCCAACCTTTCCTGTGCATCAGGATCCCTACACACCTGCCCCTGAGCTTCAGATAAAAGTGACTGGCCCCAGAATGAGAATCTCTGGGGAGTGAGGCTCCTAAAGGCTTATTGTGCAAAACAAGAGAATCCAGCCCTGAACAAGGAACCAGAAATTAGCTGATGTCAGGGCCCTTGTCACATAAGGCCCTAGCACTGGCTCAGGAGGTAAGTCTGCAGATGGGGGGACGTTTGCGGGGAAGGCAGTAGAAGAGAGACAAACAGCCAGCAAGAGCAGGCAAACTCAGAGTTGCCAGTACTTGGAGCACACCTGTGTTTACTTGAATAGACAATTAGCCATTCAATTGCCCCCTGTGATGTTCACATCACTCAAAATAAAGGTCAAACCTGCTTTCAACATACAACGAATAATTTCAATACTAAAACGGATTTTAATCCCCAAATATCTGGAGAAGGGGTGATATCCAAAATTGTCCAAGATTGTAAGCCAAGAATAAAGAGCTTATTTTTGATTCTAACAGAACCTGTACAGGGGATATATATATATATATATATATAATTTTTTTTTTCCTGCAAATAGACTCCTCTTGGAAAATGTCTTCAAAGGGTCTCTCATACACTTGTTATGTACTCATAGTCAGCTTTTACAGAGTAGTTTTCTGAAGAATCCTATCAAAGGTGCTAGAATCCACCCACATCATTTATCTCTCCTTAACATGACCAAATTGAAATACTTGTAAGAAATTTGGTGAAACTAGGAGAGAATTCCTCAACAGTACAGAACAATACAACTCTCCTGTAAGCTTTATATACTCCTTAGCTATTGACCAGTGACTTAAAAGAACAGCAACAAAATGATGCTTTTGGCTTTTGAATTGTCTGCACTGACAACTTGTTAAGTGTGTGTAAACTGTAAGTAAACTGGTTCTCATAAGGGCATATAGGAGAAAGATGCATACGTTTAATTTGTGGCCTTTCACATTTTGTTTTACTTAACACTTATATGGCACTTCCTGTTTGCCAGGTACTGTTGTAAGTGCTTTCGAAATTTTAGTTTCTCTCATCATCATCATAACCCTCTGAGGAAGGCCCTATTATTATTGCCATCTTTCTTGAGCAAACTGAGGTTCAGAGAGGTTAAGTGACTTGCCTGGAGTCACATGCAGCCAGAGCCCTGTAGCCTAGCTCTGGAATGTTATGAACCAGTACACTATGTTGACTGCTTTTCCCTTCTTCCTAAAAGAATCTTAGAATCAAGGGTGGGTATCTATAGACCAATTCTCTACAGAGGATGGTAGAGCAAAACAAAGCAAACTTTTCTCCTTTGATAAATATAAGGCAAGGCATTCCTTCTTCACCAAGCCCTCTTTTAACTGAATGCTACACCACTGCATGCTGGGGATCACCCTTCCACGTTTCTAGAATCTTCATCATTCTCTCCATTCCCTGGTGCCCTTCGGTCTTCATTTGCATTACTCCCAGCCCAGCCCTAAGTACTTCTGTCTTTGGTCTAACCCAGTTTATTATTCCCAGAGTTCAGAAAGATGTTTCTAAAACGCAAAGCTGTTTTCTGGTCTATCTCTAATGTCCTCAATGCCACTGTTTCATTCTGTGATAAAAGCCAGGTAAATTAGCCTAGCTTATGTGCTTCGTGTTCAGGTCCAGTTCGTTAGCTGGCTCCACACTTGGCACACAGTAGGTGGCCTCGTTCCTCCACATGTCCCTTTGCCTAAGCCACGCTGAGCTGTTGCCTTTCTGCTCTGTTTCTCTTCTAGAATTCCCTTCACTCTTCCCTGCCCCCTCCAACTGGCATCACCAGCCTTCACTAGATAATTCTAATGCATCCTTCAACACCCCAGCTCAAGCGTTATCTCTTCTCCCACTGATCTGGATGCCCTTTGCAGTGCTCCAGGAGGAGCCAAGGTACTTCTCTCCTACCCTGTAGGGGCCCCTCAAAATGTGAATGACAGATGGCGGCGGCAGCATATGGAAGCTTGCTGATGCGCAGTTTCTCAGGCCTCAACTCAGACCTACCCAATCAGAATTTCTGGGGATAGAGCCTGGCAATTCATGATTCTTCTGCATGCTGAGGGCGAAGCAGCACTGCCCTGGACCTTTTGAGAGCACATACCACATCTTACTGGGTTTCTGACTCCCCAGGATCTCTCTTACTGACTGGGATAAAGCAAAGGATCAATAAATGGTCAATGGGTGAACGAACATTGGGTTAATCCTTTGATTCATTAAACCTTATGTCTTTTACCTAGGAAACACGGAGTATTCCATCAATGCCTCCAAATACTAAGAATTGGAATTTGTCTTTAATTTTGAATTGGCTAGGGCATTTTCACACTATTCTTAGGGGCAATGAAATAATTTAAAGTTTAGGGCTGATCAAGAAAAGCACAAAAATGCACAGTGTCTCTCAAAAGTACATTTTTATGTATTCTACTGTACAGCAGGTGGTACCCTCTGCTTCAAGCTCTGAAAGATTATTTGCAGCTTTCCTTAAATTGTCTTTCTTTTGACTACTTTTTGAATATAGTTTAGGAAGGAAAATGCAAATTGTACAGCCACGGTAAAGACTGCTCCATATCAAAATATCTCAGGTTCTCTGGTTTCTCACAACAGTCTTTATGCTATCTGCTGCTTGGAAAGCTTTCTTGCAGCACTTTATGCTAAAATTAAGAAAGCTACTAGCAGGACTTGTTTTTCAACTTTTTTCAGGTATAATTTCACTCCTCTAAAACAAACCGATGTAAGACATAGTCTGTTAAATATAAACTGCTCACCAACGTCATAAACAAAAACAACAAAAAAAGTGCCTGAATTTTGAAATAATTTCTGGCACTGTTGTTCCACAAAGGGAAAAAGGACACCATTCTTGAGGTCTGACACAAAGCCTCTCCTGCCTTCGTAGCAGTTAAGACTGGTTACTACCAAAACCAGCTTAAAGAGAAATCAGTTGGGGCAAACTAACACCAAAGTGCTGATAGTTGAACAGATCACTTGAATCACGTCCAGTACACAAAATTATTTAAAGTACACGTTAGACAAAGTAAAGAGCAGGTGTTTTGTTTAACTATTTATCTTGAGGTTAAGGACTTTATAGATGGCAGAATATAAAATTGCATCTGCTAGTAAAACTGCTGTCCGATGGTCATCAGCATGAACGGGCAAACAGAAAACAAGGGTCATAAGGTTAGGGTTGGCGTTGATGGGAATTACATCTCCCCTGCCATGCTCCCTCTAAAAAGGCTTAGGAGAGGCAGCAGAGAGGGGAGATGCCCAAGTGAGAGATGCATCCAAAGGTTCTTCAGCAACTGATCTATGCTGCTAGCGGCTTATGCTGCTTGGTGTGGGACCAGGTCAACCATGTCTTCCAACTCTTCCTCACCAATACTTCCATCTCACCCACAGGGCAGTATCTTGATTGAGGTCTTTTCACCAGTGCTTAAGGTGGTTATATTATGAAATAACAGAGAATTCTATTTTTGAAAAATTTCCCCCGTTTTTTGTTTTGCTAGATAATATATTTTTAAAAGGTGGAGGATGACATGAAGTGTTGAGCAAAGGGAGTAGTTGGTCAATAAATGTAAATGGCTCAGAAAAAGATGTTGAAATGTATTAATTTGAAATCGAAAGTGTAGTCAACTTCCATCAACACATCTCAAAGGCGCCCAGAGTCCTACTCTAATAAACACAGGGTAACCACAGGTTTCCAGGGCCACTTGCTTGTTTCGGCCTCTACGTTTCATACGATTTAGTTCCTCAAGAGTACTTTCCTCCTTTCTATTTTTTCCCAAGTTTAAGTTCATGGCTTTTGTAGGCAAGCCATCGAGTCCACAGGGAGAAGGGTATAATTTCCGTAACAGGTTGATCCTGGGTGCCAACAAAGGAGGATCATTTCCAATTGTTTTGGGATATTGAAAACAACCACATGTGGATTAAGTTTAAATAGCAACTGAGAAAACAGCTGACTTTCCTGGATTAAAGACCTTTGCAATTTAGGTTGTATCTGTAATTAAGCTGATTAGAATGAGTATTTCCAGTTTCTTTATTCTCTGGAATAATTCCAAAAATCCTCTGAGCAGGTATGCTACAGAGGCTGAGCAGATGAAATGATTAAACAAATATATGCCCGTGTATATATAATTATGTATGAATGTGTGTGCATGTGTGTATATGTATTACTTGATATGGACAAATATAATGGAAAACTAGCTGAGCACATAAAAATTATATTTAAAATTCTCATATGACATTTATTTTTTTCATTCAGAGACTTAAGCTAGTATAACAAAGCAGGAACAAGCAGCACTGGTTACATCTAAAGCTAGATGTGATTCAGTATCCACACCCCCTTACTAGAGCCATATCCACAGATATGTGAGCGACTATAGCATCAGAATGCCAGCAAAGCATGAGTTCCATATAGGGAATATAAATGCACCCATTCACTTCCTCTCATTAACTTCACAGTCAGGCTTTGAACAATGCGATTGATTAACATATTCATTGTTCTCCTATGCTTTTGCCTCAAATTTTTACATCTTTAGGGATCAAAGATATCTGAATACTTAGCAAACAAATGCTCCTGCAAAACCATCTCTGTAAAATGCAGTGGCACCAAAAGGGCCAGAATGGATTTTTTATTGTTTCAAGGGACCTACAAAAATGCTAAGGAAAACAAATCTATGAACCAATTTTATTTTTATTTGCATTTAACATGATTATACACATTCATGTGTCTAACAAGATCTGCACTGTTACATTAAAAATACAGTACAATAACATTCAACATGAGGTACTTCATATTTATATATTTTTCCTTCATAAATAATGCTGTAAGCTACTAAATTCAAGCACTCTGATGCACAAGTGCTAGTGTCTTGAATTAGCCGAGCTTATTTAAACACCTTAAAAAACAAAAAGACAGTTCAGTGCAATAATTATGTAGAAATTAGACCATTTACTTAAATACTATATTAAGATATGCTTAAAGAATGTTACATTAGAACGGCTAGCCTAGTTCCCCTTTATCCCCAGTATGAACAACAACAAAGACTGCCAGGTATATTGGGAAAAGCATCTACAAGAGTATTCTGTTTAATAAAGTTGTGTTTATACACTAACTAGAGTTGCCTGCCTTGTCAGAACAATGGTTTCTAGTTTTAAAAGCTACAAAATTCGAGATTACCAAAGAAAATAAAGCAAGCACGTTAGCTTTCATTCCATGTTGTTGAAAATGCAAAAAGGGAGAACAGGATTTAAAATACAAAATTTCTTATTCTAAATACAATTTTCAAATTTAACCCACAGCTCTCGACACCAGCCAACCGGGTGGTGGACATGTCTTTTCTTTTTTAGCTAATGGTGATTAACATAAAACCAAGCTCTCATACCCCCAGTGTACACAGAATCTCCCTCGGCTTTCCCCCAGCAGTTCCATACTCATGTGGAGGGCATCTTGCTAACAGGAGCACTGACAGTGAGCGTTACTGAATGAACAATCTTCACTCTAAGGTTATCACACCCACCTCAACAATCTGAGATGATGACATTAGTGCTAAATCAAGTTTCTTCTCCTCTGGCTTAAAAATGAGTGCCTTCTAATCAGGTATACAGCCTACCAATTTGCATGGTAGCTATGAGTTACTGAAATGTTTCATCATAATTTAAAAGCAAAATCCTTTATAGAAGTGTTTTTTAAATTGAAAACATACCTTTATTTCATAGATACTTTGCCAAAACTACTGTCATCTTCCTAATAAAGAAATAATTGTTAGATAATTTTGGAAAGTTGTCCTGGGAGTACTCATCTACAATCACCAGTAACAGCTTTTGATCATCTATGCTAACAGGCATAGGTAATGGCAAACATGATTAAAACATTTCCCATAATCCAGTGTTCTCCTCTACCAGGGAAGCCGGCCAAAAGCAACAAGCCCACATCTACGGGGGGAAAAGGTGGCCCAGAAGCACAGTGAATAAGATAAGGGTAGTCACTTCCTGGGGCCTTGCTAGGGCCAGCAGGGGGACCATTTCTGTCCCACCTCTTACTGGCCAGGCAGGGAGGAGACAATTCCTGAGTCGGCAAACACACTTGCATGCACATGGACGTGCACGGACGCCCACGACGCGCACACACCCGCCCACCCCAAGACTAACCCCTGGCTCCAGACAAGCCAGCTTGGGACTCGCAGAGCAGGAGAAGGAGGCGGCCAGGGACCACACTCTGGGTGGTGGGGGAAGCCATCTCAGGATCACGCTGAGCAGAAAAGCTGCCCAGAAACACATGGATGCTTCAACTGGAAGTGAACACATTGGACACTACCAGGGTCACAGGCACAAAACCGTCACAAGCCATCACTGAAGGAGAATTTTGGGATGAGCTTTTCCCTCCTTTGTTTACATTAACCATGTACAAATAAGAGGGCTGGATGTGATGCTGATGCAGTGAATATTACGTACAATCAAGTATATCGCTCCAGACCTTTTTTTTTAAAACCCTGCAGGCGTTTATTGGCACTTCAAGGATGGCCAAAGGCCAAATTCTAGCAGTCTAGGAACAGGACATAATTATAATTAACGAAGAAGATAGTATGTGGTCAAAGTAGATCTGGTGAAGTGTACTTTAGATTAAAAAAAAGAAAAATCAATGAATAAAAGTATCTTATTACATTAACATGTAGTGCTACAAAGCTAATTGTTACTCCATACATCTGAAGAACTGTTTGGTCCTCTTTTCATGGGAAAAAGGGAGTAAGAATTCTATACAGTATAACTTACAAAAACAAGCAAACAGTGGGGATCAGAAGCAAAGTGGGGAGAAGACTGGCTTTTTCAAACGGTGTATTCTATTATGCCATGAAATAAACTATTTGTAGAATGGGACTTTTTAAGGTCTCCTTTATAAGCTGTTTTAGTTTAAATTAATAGGCCTGTGATTTTTCCCTATTGACAATAAAAATGTGTAATTTAGTTAGTTCTAAAAGAAGCATCTGTATTGCAATAGTTTGTCTTCTAAACTAAAAGAATAAAAACCTGCTTGTAGTAGGTCATGGCCTAAGCAAACATCCCATTTCCTATTTTCCCATTTTACATGGATACTTTGCAGTGTTTAACATTTAACAATCTTATGAATTTAGGATTTAAGAAAAAATAATGCCCAGAGTAAAATATTTAAAATGAAGTAAGAGGTAAACATAACTACTGCCTACTTTCTAAATTATTACTTATGAAGCAAAACTTCTTCAAAATTGTACACTGAGGTTTACCTGTTGGGGGTTCTCTTTAAAAATAACTCTTATCATTATTTTAGAGTATTTATTTCTATTTGTCAAAATAAAGCCCTAAAGGAAATTCAGGGTGATCCTGAAAATTTTAAGAGGGACAAAACTGGGAGGTCAGTGGGGCAGATGGAAAAGAGCACAAATTCTTCCCAGGTGTATGGACGCAACTCTAAAAACCACAAAGCCTTAATAAGAACTTGGCTCTTTTAAGCATATAGTTAAAAGCTGAATGCTGCATTTTTGCCTGTACATAATTAAAAGGCTGAAAGAAATCAGAAACTGCCTACAGCTTCGTTCATTACGAATTACCTGCGCTGATCACGTATCTGCAGATGAGCTAAGCATCAAGCGAGTGGGAACCAGATGTGCACCTCAGAGCTCACACTGCTTCGGGAGGGGTTTTCAAGCATAGAATATGAGTTCCGGGATCTGCCCACCCTGCACCCCAGTGCCATTGGTGCTATCCGAGGAGCACTGGAACTGGACAGTCACCTTGCCACACTGAACTTCCGTCATGCCTTCCTGTCCGAAGTAGCTGAGTTCATTGCCATCCAGTACCACGCTGGCTGTGTAGAACGTGTCTGGCTCAATCTGCACTGGGTACTCAAACCACACGGGGAAGGTATTGCTGGAGCCATCTGAGAAGTACTTGCTCAAGTTCTGCCCTAGAACAACGCCCTGCCGCTTGAGTTCAATCTTGGCGCTGTACTCTGCAGAGCCACAGCTGGAGCCATACAGCCCAAAGCCAGCGATGAACACTCTCTTATCAACTGCAAACTGGATGCTGTCACAGCGGCCCCGGTAGCGCCACTGGTTGCTCCGGTAGGCACATGACTGGAAGCGGTGACAGCGCTGGGGGACGAGGCCCTTGCGGGCTTTACTCACAAACTGCAACTCGGGTTTCTTGGCTGCAGTGTACCAGAGGAAAATGTCATTTGTCTCATTGAGAGTTAAAACTCCAGACTGGGCAGCACCGTTTGCAAAATCGTCCAGGGCCATCGTGGGGATGCGGATCAAGTAAAGTGCCTTTCCGAGGACCTTGCGTTTATTTTCAATGCTCAAAGCTAGATCCTGCCGCTGGCATTCCACCTCGGCCCAGTTGAGAGCTGCCTCAAAAACCACAATTTCTTTGGCATTCAGAGTTTCCCTGCGGAGGATACTTTCTAGAGTCTGGAAGTCGATATCGCAGAATCCCTCAGACTTGAGAGCTAACTCAGCCTGGGCATCGATCACCTCCCAGCAACGCTGGGTCAGGTCCGGCTCCTCAAACAGGCAGCTCTGGGAGAGAAGTACACAGGCATTCTTGGCGCTCAGGCTGGTCTCCAGGAAATTAACGCAGGCGCGGGCGAGGTGAGGGACGATGTACTTTTTGGCAGCATAAAGAGTGGCCAGCACTGTGTCAGCAGCCAAGTCAATTTCATCACAATAGATATATCTGAAAGACAGCACAAAGCATATAAATGGAATTTTCACAAAACGAGCGTGTCCAGCAAGAAAAGATGCAACTACTTTCAAGTTAGTTCCAAGAAAATCATCTTATGTGACAGTTATTACAAAAATGATTAGGGAGTAAAGAAACATCTGAAATATGTTCATAAATTATTAATATTTCAACTCAGCAGTAAGTCTGTATAATTAAAGACATTAACTTTGTGTTACCATTCTAGCCTCTATTTTATAACCTGCATTCAATGTCTTCTCAAAAAAACAGAAGATACTAGAACTGTTTGAAAAAAAAAACTGTGTATCAGAGTTAGTATTAACAAAAAAAAAAAAGGGAAAAATTTCTGTTAAATACACCATATTATATTTAATCAAATAATCATCTCTGAGCGCCTGCGTGGCTCAGTCGGTTAAGCATCTGCCTTTGGCTCAGGTCATGATCCAGAGGTTCTGGGATCGAGTCCAGAGAGCCCCGTGTCCTGTCTGGCTCCCTGCTCTGCGGGGAGCCTGTCCCTCTCCACACCCCTTGTGTTCTCTCTCTCTCATTCAAATAAATAAAATAAATTCTTAAAAAAAAGAATAATCTCCTTATATTTCAGAAGTGCTCTCTCTCTCTCTCTCTATATATATACATAGTTTTATTTTAAAATTTTCTGTACATTCAGATAGAAACAAATGCCTTTAATACTATGTTGGCAATGATTACACCTTAATTCTTATAACTATGACTTGAATTTTCGCTAAACGCAAAATAAAACCTGAGATTAAGAAAGATATTTTTCAAGTAGTTCTAAGTTCAATAGATTATCATCTATGGATTTCAAAATTATCTTCCAGTTGCCTTTACATAGAATCCAACATAGGCTTTGTATCTGGCTTTTTTTTCTTTTTAAACTCTAAATTCTTTCTTCTCTCCTCCCCACATTTCTTCTACCTTCAGAATTAAAGAACGTATTATTTCTGGATATATTTAATTAAAAGACAAAAGCAAGAAAGCCCAAATATGCACTATTTTTATGATTCTATAAAGTATCCCTATGTCAGGAGATACAACACTTCTTGGTAATTTGGGGGGATGGTGGCAGTCTCCCAATATGGTATGTAAAAGCAAAAATCATCTGCTTCTTTTAGATTGCCATGGATGAGTACAAGAAAGAGTCAGTGAGAACTACATATGGGTGAAAAATACATTCTGATAGCACTTAACTTTTAATTTTTTCCAGTTAAAGCTAATGTGTTAGCTACTTGCTGTAAAGTTTTCCTTTAGTTACTCTATTTTAACTCAGTGAAACACATATAAGAAAAGATTAGTAATGGCTTCTGCAAAGAAAGTAAAAAACCCCACAGTGATGATGATAAGAAAAATGTCTACAATCACAAATGAACCCTCATTTTTGCTCCCAGGAAGCTCTTTCTCTTCTGATAGGCTAAGCCATATACCACTGGCCAAGACTGACTCACATGATACCAGCAGCTCAGTGATGCTCTGACCTGAGAACCAGGACGATGGCAAAGAATCTGGAACAAGGTCAGCACCTTGTGGCTCTTACCCTGGAACTGTCAAGTGAGCGCTCTTCCCTTTTTCTCGACAATTCCCTTTCTAGGAATACTGGCTACTCAGCCATACAACGCAGTTGTCTGGAAAAACTGGCCTCCACTATCGGTGGCGACAGTGCAGTCCTGATCAACTATGGCCCAACAGCAAACGGCACCCTACTACATTTCTGATTCTTACCACTTTTGGTGGACTGCATGTATAATTTTAAAAAGCTGTATTGAGATAGATTCTAGGTAATACATTTGTAAGAAAAGATGCAAATGGAATGACTTGGGTGAAATGTAATTCTGTAATTCTTACTCGTGTTCCCTAATTACGTATCTCTCTGGCTGAAACAACACAACACTCTGCTGGACTGCAGTGCAGTCAAAATGCTGAACCAGTGTTCGCGTTCTCCTCTGCGAAAGACAATGTCAAACATACAAAGCTCACTTGACTGGAAAACAAAACAAAACAAAAACCTTCCCAGGTAAAACTGGTTTCTGTACATGTATCTCTAAAAGATTAGAAAGGTCACTAAGTGTTGGTTGTTTCGAAGTGGTGAATTAGTTTACCTTTTGGTACTTCACATGCTCACTTATCTTTAATTTCCCTATTTCCCACTGTGAAAGTTTCAGTCAGATGCAATTAGATTTCAAAACTACAACATAAATAAAGAATACTTTTAAGTTCTACAATTAACTGCAATACTTAATTTTCAGTAGGAGCAGTCAATAAATATCTCGCAACCTTTTAACCATTTGTGGGATTATCGTCCAACTTGTTGACACACAATAATTTTTTTAACAAACATATTTATTCTAGGGAACCAAAATCCCTACAGCAGTAGATAACCTTGGACTCTGGATATACTTGGTGTGCTAGAAGAAGGATTGAACAAAAATCATAAAACATTATTTGAAATAATCACTGCATGTTAATCACAGGGTAGACTATCACACTGTCCGGCAGCAGCGCACATCAGAGAAGCGGATTCTATTTAGCTGGTCAACACGTACTGGATTCTGAAAAAGACCTATGAGACAGAAAACTATTTTTTAAATAAGTATATGTCTTACAGCTTTGCATTTTTATACTACCAATTAAAGTTTTCCTATAAAAATACATATAAAACTATAGAAAACTATTCATCTCTCAAAAATGTCTCCTCTACTATCAAAAAGCAAATGCTTTTTTATCTTTGGGAAATGGTATCTGATTTTATGTAAGAGTATGCACATGTACGTATGGGCAAAGATCAGATTATTTTAACACAGCAAGTTTTACATTTGCTGACAGGAAACAGTAACTTCTAGAAAACCGAGAAATCTCTTAACTAGTGATACTTAAAAACAAGGTATATTATTTCTGGAATTGTGAAACAAAAATATAATTTGTGTCTTTAGAGACTCCTTCATACACAATGCTGTCAGAGAGAACATACGCTATTAAATAATCCTGCATGAGAAAATTGTTTTTCTTTGATTGTGAGTCGTTAAAAATCAAATCACTATCCATGCCACTTGCTTCCAAATACTGTGCCAAGGTGTATGATAAATGCCTGCACCATTCCACATACTTTCCCCCCGAAAGATGCACAGTAGTTTTCTCCAAAAACCATTTACAAGGTAAGCAGCACCCTCTTTCTTCATCAGTCTCCCTTTCTTATATTTAACTGAGAAACCAGCAGAGCACAAACACATCATAAACTCTTTCTAAACAAACGAACGATGCTTACTTCAGCATAGCGAGAAAAGCAGCAGGTTCGACATCTGGTATACGGATTTCATCTTTGTCCTCAGCAAGTTCTCCATAAAACATTGCATGGAACACAGAGCTCCCAACAGCTAAAACATACTGTGGAGAAAGGGAAATCTTATTTCATACACTAAACTGAAAGCATTTTCGGTAAATCAGTCCAGAAAAACAACTCTAAGCAATCAGGGTTTAGTGGACGTGGAGCACCTACACCTGCGCTTTCTTCAAAGCCAAGGGACAGTGTTTATCTTGCCGTGAAAAGAGAAGATATTCACGCAAGTCAGTCTTTATGCTGCTAACTACCTCAAGGCTTTAAGAGATTAATGTCTAAGTTCCCTCATTACAAAATAAATAAATAAAATAAAAGCTTATCTAACCAATTTCTAGGAGAAGGGTAAACATGACTTTTCTAACCTGTCGCAACAACTTCCCACGACTGGAGAGTTAGGAGGGCATGTTTTTGTGTGGGATGTAAAGCAGGATAGAAAGAAACAAAGGAAAAAAAAATAAGTGTGGCCAAGACTCTTTGGAGAGGCTGTGCCTTCTCTGTGATGGGTGAAACGCGCACTGCCTGCCATCGGCAAGCTGCCCACCCCAACCAACTTTCAGGCTTATGGAGAGGGTCCCTCTTTGTAAATCTCAGCACTAAACCGGTAATGCAGCTGTTGCTTACTTTGTGTCCTGGCAACCGCTGAGTCCCACCTGGTGGCCCAACCACAAAATGTACATCTGCCATCAAATCATTATTGAACATCACTGCATTTCTATAAACAGAGGCAATTCATTAATGCACAGCAGCCAGCAGTTTTAACACCCCCTCCCCAACATACAAAACCCACAAAAGATTCACAAGCTAAGCAACAGTTTAGTAACTTCAGGGTAAAACTACAAATCAAGATTCCAACTAAACAACTATCTGTGATCATTGCAAACACATGGGAAGTAACTAAAGTTAAAAAAAACCCAATGAAAAAGTTATTGAAACTTTTCACTAGATTAAGGACAAAAAGAAGGTTTCTATCTCCAAACCTTCCATGGTCAGTAGACACAAGCCTGTCACTTAAATGTCACAGCTTGCAAAAACATTTTTATCTAAGAGGAAAACAGCTGTACTATTTTGGAAAAGATACAAGGCAGTTTTCCATTACCGATAAAGCTTCTGGGAAAAGAGGAAACACAGACTTATGTTAAAATACATTACAGGTTGTGCAAAAGCAGAAACTTCAACACAGGAAAACTTTTAAAGTAAATATGCTGGCTGGGCACTTACCTTTCTCGAATGGTGGGGTAGAGACCCTGCCAGTTTGGGGCCGGAATAAGGTTGTTGTTACTGAGATTCTGCTGGTGGTACTGCTGGACAGTGGTGCTGCTGGAGTTGGCTGGTTTTTTACGCGGGAATATATCAGCAGCCATCTTCTTCTTCTTTTTAGTCTTCAAGGTGATTATTTCATAACAAACTGGGGGCAACTTGCTGCCGCTGCTGCTGCTGGTGTTTGTCTTCTTCGAGCTTTTCTTGGACCTATTCTTTACTGTCTCTGGAAGCATCAAGAAGAAGGTGAGACATTTCATGTTCTTTTCCTTGTCATCTACCATGAGTACAGTATGTCTCTCTTTATAGCTAGATAGCCCAAATTGGTGCAAACATCAAGGAAAAGAGGCTGGCACGAGCCAAGATGTTAACAGAAACCAACAAGCTGCTATTTTGCTTCTTTTCTCAGCCGGACAAGGTGACCTTTTCACTATGTTGAATAGAAACTGGCTTTAAGTTTTATCCAGTACTGGGTCTGCTAAATACATCTCCATCATGATTCCTATTTCTCTTATTTGCTCATAAAGATAACCCAGTTTCCTAGATCACCTGAAAATGCTACACTGAGCGAAGATGACAGGCAGCGAGCTGTCGCACTTGTTTTCTGAATTAGGTTAGCAAGATGTGCTGGAGCCGAGCGAGTCTGTTCAGCCGGCTGAAGTTGTGTGGTGAATGGATGGGAGGAGAGTAGGTATTACAGCCCTGCAGATGGAGTCAGACAGCCAGTGCTCGGAGCCAATAGCTGAAGTCACCAATCATGATTGGACCAAGCAAAACAGTGACACCTATTGTAACATGCAGAGCTCTGATATTAAAGGAACAGCAGTGGCATTCTGTTGTCTCCAGTATTACTGCATATTAAAATAAGATAAACAACCTATGAAATAGATCTGCAAACAGGAAAGGAACAGTTTGTGCTCACAAATTTCTCTTCAGTAGATATACATTTTTATTTCCCCAGTTAAACAAGCAGGACCAATTAACAAAGGGTAGAGACTGATATCTACTCTGTATTTCTAGTAAAATCTTTATCCCAGCAGCATTTAGTTTCAAATACTTCAAACAAAATCCTTTCTTCCCGCTAAAAGGGATTATTAATAGCTAAACCATACTAAACAACACACTTATTACAGCTTAATGGAAAGGAATGCTGTTTTTCTTTTTCCAGCTCTTTGAATGCACATTATAGTCTAGTGCAAAAGAAGAGAGATGAGGTCATGTGTTCATTTTACCTCCCAACATTTTCTAGTTCCTATGATGATCTTTGACAGGAGTCCCAGATCAGAAAATACTTTTCAATTAGACTAAGATTATACCAGTAGGTTTAGCTGCACTGAAGCAAATTTTAGATATAAAAAGTAAGATTCAAATTAGACAAATCTGTATTTAAAGGTTATAATTCCCTGAAAATATGTCAGATGGGCCCTGCTCAGGATCTCAAAATCCAACCTAAATGTTATGGCTACATTTAACTTGCCATAATTTTATTTTATTTTTTTTTTAAAGATTTTATTTATTTGAGAGAGAGAGAATGAGAGACAGAGAGCACGAGAGGGAAGAGGGTCAGAGGGAGAAGCAGACTCCCTGCTGAGCAGGGAGCCCGATGTGGGAACTCGATCCCGGGACTCCGGGATCATGACCTGAGCCGAAGGCAGTCACTTAACCAACTGAGCCACCCAGGCGCCCCTAACTTGTCATAATTTTAAAGAATATAATCCACAACTTCTAACACAAAACCAGTAATAAGGCTATTCAAAATGATAAATGGTCTGATGCTGCTTAGTTAAAATGCAAACAGGTTCTCTCTGCTTTGAATCAGAAGACTATCCACTACTATGTATGTGGTTTTCATGGATCTCCCAACAATTTCTAGCTTTGTTGAGCAAGAAAAAACAAAACACCTGCTACAGGTTCCACACATGCTTATTTATTTCTAAAGAGGGACTAATGAGGAGATTTAATCTTACCCCTATCTATCTGGATTCCTCTCATTGGTTCCAAGTGCAGCACCCATTTCCTCCCCCTGCCTGCCCCCGTCCCCCAGACCTAATGCAGCCTTCATGGCCACAGCCCTGCTTGTGGCACAACATTCATCTGAATGAGCACCCGACAGAGCGAGGACTCAACAAATGCTATGCTGGTTATTATAACTAATAATCTGCTGAGGAGAACACACTGAAATCAAACTTTGAATCCCTGGGACCCTAAATCATGAGACAGCCAAGGAATATCCTCTTTATTGTCATCATTATTACTCTTAAAACTGCAAAGCCAGTACAAGACAGGCTATATATATAGAAGAGAACCAATGGTCTTTACCACAAGGCTATTCATCCCTGTTTTAGATGGACCCTGAAGTGCTGCTTATTGGTTACAATTATTATGTGTTCCCAATCACAGGGCTACCATACACACACACACACACACACACACACACACCCTTTCAAATCACACAATGGTAGAGACAGAGAGAGAGATCTAGAATAGTTTTTAAGAGTATGTGGTGAAAAGTATGAAAGAGGAACACATGTGTACTACTCAACTTCCTGACACCAACCTCCTAGGAAAACCCCCATGACAGGGAGGTCCTTCTGACCAGGATTAGTCCCATACATTTCAGGTCAGACGGTGATCAATTAGACTGGAAAGGGAAATGAGCTGCTTTGAGACAGACATACTAATAATTGTGAAATGGACAGACAAAAAATACTAAAAGCACAAAAAGTAGATACAAGAACTTCGAAGGCTTTGTGGCTTTTATTCATTTCACATGCAGTTCAACACCTTTTACCAAGAAAGCCTCGAACAAACACTGTTCCTATATCACTAATTAATAACAAGTGCACGCAATAGCTTAAGAAAAAAATGATATAATGTTTTAGAACATATTCTTTCTGAAATTAAAGGTTTTAGGTATTTGGAAAATTAAGTTCTGTGGAAAAGCTTGAATACAGCAGTTACATGAAGCGCTGCTCATTCTGAATCCCCCAGAACAACGCTGCAAAGAGGGGCACTGTCACTCGGGAAATGAGGGGACTCAGGAGTCTGGCTGTTTTAAAGATATGTTCTAAAATACAAAAAGTAATCCAATTAAAAAAATTTAAATGGCATTTGAATTTTAATTTTTGTAGCCAATTTGAAAAGCATGAAAATGTTAATAAAACCAAGACATGGAAAACTTCCTGAGAGCTTCGTTTTCCTACCATGGTTTTAAAAGACAGGTAACATAAAACCCTTGCGACCGAGAGTGTGGCCCATGGCCCAGCAGCAGCAGCAGCAGTGGCACCGCCCAGGAACCTGCTAGAAGTCCAGAAACTCAGCCAGAGTCTGGATCAGAAGTGCATCTTAACAAGACCCTCTAGGCAATCTGTATGACATTCAAGTTTGGGAAAGCCCACGTAAAATTAAAATAAAGAAGGTTACCCGGTCTCCCAGTGATCCAGTATCAACATCTGGAGCCACGTTTCGCATTCAGTTATCAAGTGAGTGAAGAAATAATTCAAAATGATTAATTTGGTTTGGTCATAAAACTTAACCTTGATGTCTTACTCTGAAATTCTTCTGATTAGGCCCTAAATGTCAAAATTCTAGAATTCAGGTGTGTGGACAGCCAACCAAGAGGCCTCAAAATATTTTTTGAAAAAGAAGCTCAAGCTCAAATTATTATTTTTTTTAAAGATATTTTTATTTATTCATTCGAGACCCAGAGATAGAGAGAGAGAGAGAATACGAGCAGGGGGAGAAGCAGAGGGAGAGAGGGCATCAGGCTTCCCGCCGAGCAGGGAGCCCGAAGCGGGGCTCGATCCCAGGACCCTGGGATCATGACCTGAGCAGAAGGCAGACGCTTAACAACTGAGCCACCCAGGCACGCCAAGCTGAGATTACTTCCTAGGAAAACAACAGAGATCATTTTAGTGGGAAAAGTAAAGGATTAAAGAATGCCAAGTGTGAAACAGATGAACCACTTAATATATTTTTTGAAATAATCTACTTCACAAATCTATTTCAAAAAATTAGTATTGCGGCACAGCAAAACTAGCAATCAAGTAATGTGGTTCAGTCCTGGCTCAGCCACAAAAAATTGATTGTGTGTGTGTGTGTGTGTGTGTGTGTGTGTGTGTGTGTTGAAGGGGAGGGGAGTCTGACAAATCATTTAGCTTTTAAGGGCATCAAGTTCCTCAGCTACAATATGAAGAGGTTCTCTAGAATAGATGAATGTTTCTCAATCTTTACCTTGAATCCTCAGTAAGAAATGCATTTTATATTCGGACTCAGTACTAGCACGCACACACACACACCCCCACAAATGGAAAGATGGTTCACAAAACAAAAACTCTTAGCATGTTTAGTACAGATATTTTCTATCTTATTTTTCTCTTTTCTTTTTAATGTTGGTCTTGATTCATTCCACTGATTTCATAAGCACAGTTGAAGTAATACTGGTCTAGATGATTTCTAATAGCTTTCAAGGTTTAACATTCCAGGGTAGTTTTCTATCAAGAACCTGGACTAAGGGGAAGAAGGCAATGGCTGCATCAACAAATGGCTTACACAACTGGAAGTGTGCATTTATTTTCCTGGGAAGAGGAGCCACAGTTATTATCTGTCTTTCAGGGTAATCCATGACCCAGAGCACAATAAATATTATGAAAATTTAAGATTGATTTGAACATACAAGATATTTCTATCACTTTCCCCCTCTGCTTTCATATCTATAGTCTATTTCATTAACACACAAACTATGGCTTCTTTCCCCCACTGAAATTAAACATAAAGAGTTAAAACTCCATCTATTGAATTTGCAACCCAAAAACATTCCCCATTAGACTGAAGGATGGATAAATAAAGGATTCCAGCCCGAAATGTATTTTCATATTTCACTCTAAAATTTCTTTTCAACTGGCATTGTATCATTTGTTCTTATACCTCCTGAATTTTAAAGCTGTCATGAGACATGTTAATCTGCCCTAATAAAGTAAATTGATCAAGAAGCCCATTCATCTTTTATGAAATACCTATGTATCCCTCACTTTTTGAAAGTTCATGTTATGCACTTTGCTTTTATGAAAGACCTACATTAATACTGTTTTCACCAGCTAAAGGAAATCCAAAGAATTTTTGCTTTTGTGAAAAAAGCAAAAATAGCATTCAGCATGTTTTGCAGTGAGCCATTAGAGGCAGCACACATCCCGAGAAAAGTGGCACCACCAAGCTCCTTCCCTGGGAACTACACTCAGCATCAGGCTGCCATAGCTTTGCCATAGCATCTATGCTTTATCTTGATTTACTTTGTGCATCCATTATCAAGATGTGTCCTAAAATATCAGAAAAGCCAAAAAGAGGTTATTTTTTTGGGTCTGGGAACACTCAAAACTTTTTCCAAATAAAGTAATGGTAATTGCTTCTTTATGCCATTTTGACTTACAAAACATTTCACAGGTACACTGTACTTTTGGATAGCAGGGGAAACCTGTACTTAAAATTCAACACGCTGATCTTGCAGCGTGTTAGGTGATTGGCATACAATAGTGAGGAAGATTAGGAACCAACCTTAAGAGGTTAGCTAGTCACAGTGGGTTTCAGATGATTTTTACAACTGTCAGAAATTTCAACCATCTTTATCTCTATTCATTAAATTTCCAATAA